TTGTCTTATTATGTTTAGTTGTATTTAAATTTATCATTTTAGTATATTGTTTGATTCTTATGGACAAATAATAGCTGATGATAATGCTAGTCATTTGTTCTTGATGTTCTGTACAAGGAAACTTATATTGAATGTTGGAACATATATCAGTTGTCACTAGTTCAATGACATCAGGGCATGTTGCATATTTTTGAAAACTATCCTCAATTATAATCAACATCTTAAATACTCCACTATTTGGATGAATCAATCTTCCATGTGACTTCATTGTTGTTAAGAGAGCAATTTCTTCATYAGAAGTATGATTAAATTTAAATGATTCGATACATTGCTGACACTTCAAACGTTTTGAAACCTTGATATTGGAAGGAAACAAACAGTATAATAAAAAATGGTAAATATATATTTTATTTTAAACCTTTCAAAACTGATAATATTAAGCCTACTTAGTACTTAAAATCCTGTAATTCTTACATCAGCCAATTGATTATTAAAACAGTTAAAAATTAGTGAAATAATAATTTACCCTGCATGACTGAAGATGGTTTTTTTTGTTGATGAATTTTAGATTTAAGATTAAATTTAATGATGGGTACTTACTTGTTTTGTAAAGTATCCAGCAATATAATAAATAATACAGTCAACAACATCTGTAGAGTTAAATGGATTAGAAGATTCCGGCATTATATCAAAAACCTATGATTAAAAACAGATTTCCAAGTTAGAAGGTAAGGTTCCTACTGCATATTATATTTTCATTGTCAAACTTGAAATTTTCTTACTTCTATTTCATGAATGTCATCTATATTTTGAAGACATTCATTGAGTTTTTCTTTTATTAGATCAATTGCTGTTACCTTTGGCTTATTAAATATATTTTTTAACTCTTCTAAACTGATGAGATTTTTAYTATGTTCGATAACAGTACAGTTTCCTGATTTTGGCGRTTTCAAAATGCTATAWACTGACAACATTTTATAAATATGTTGAAAATTTGGCATTGCTGGATGGTCATTTTGTCCACCTGCAACTCGAATAGTGCCAAAAAATTTCTGAAATTTAAATAATGTAATATTATTGATTTTAGTTATTAAACGATTAAACAGAATTATTAAACCTCAAGATKATCTTGGTTAATACGGCCACTTAGAATATATTTAAAATCAAATTTATCTATTAGATATAATGACATGTCAAGCATAGAACTCATAGTTATTCTAAGGCCCTGTGATGTATTGRGTGGCAGAAATTCTTCTTCAGTTATTTCTCCTTCTATCAGTGCCATCTCCCAATMATCAAGCCATTTTATACTTGACCTGATAGTCTAAAATATGAAAAGTAATTTTTCTAGTTATAAATCAATATAATATAGGACATAGGTAAATAGTTTACTTTCCATCCTTCAGTGTCAACACTCAAACCATGGTATGGATTTAGATTATTTATTGAATCAAAGAAGCAATTTATTTTTCGGCAGAAATTTGATGTTTCATCACTATTTTGAAATTCTGGATAGTTCTTCAATTTATAATACTCTAGTGCAGTTGCTACTGTTTCACTAAATATCTATCAAACAAATTGTAAATAAATTATAGTCACGGACGTACATACGTCCGTGGTTATAGTATAATAATTTATATATAATTTACCAGTTGATAAATGAAGAAGCTATCACCTCTATGGAAACACATACAAAATTCCATAATTCCAAACACATTTGTAAGTTAATTTTAATACTATTGATAAATATGTTAATTTAGATTATACCCGTGGATAATAATACTACATAATATGTATATATTAAAATAATAACTACTTTTTGTTTATCAACTTTGGCCTTTGAAATGATCTAATACTTACCTACTAAACATGTGGATAGGTACTCAATGTTTGTTTAACAAATTATTGACAATAAACAACATAC